CCCCCCCACGCTGCGTCTCAGCTGGCCACCGCCGCTCTCGGTGGGGGTCGATGTCCTTTCTCCAGTGGCTTTGGCTCAGCGTGGGACACCCGTCTGGGCTGGGGGGGTGCCTGACAGGGTGGGGGTGACCCGGTAGGACCTCGAAGCCGGAGGGGCAGGTGCTTGGCTGGGGATCCACCAGGAGATCTGCTGGGGATGGTGCCCGTTCTGGTGTTACCTCGCCTTGGCTGTGCTTGTCTGCAGGGGTACGGGGAAGGGGAAACTGAGTCGCAGCAGGATTGCAAGCTGGCCAAGCTTGCTCAGGGCAGGGGGCATGAGAGGGGGATCTGAACCCCCACATCTCAGCCTCTGGCCGGGAAGGAACCCAGCTGGGTGCGGCAAGTGGGGGCTGCTCCGCAAACCACCCCCATGGCACAGGCTGGCCCTGTCAGTGAGCTCACCCCACCGCCTTCCCCAGGCAGGATCTCTGCTGCCCACCGGGCTCGGGCTGCCCCGTGGTCCTTACCGGGGTGCACTGGGATACCCCTGTGGACCCATCCTGCTGCCTGTCATCTATCCCCACGCGGCATGGGAGAGGCGAGCGGTGTTCCCAGGCAGCTCATGGCTTTGCCTGCCATCCGTCCTCCTCCCCGAATGGGCTTTGCGGTCGGTGCCAGCTACGTGGTGGGTTCCTGCTGTGGTTCCCGTAGCCATCGGTTGGCTGAGAGAGTGTTTGGAGGCTGAAGGGTGGTGGTGGGGTGCTTTTTCCTTTGGCTGTTTTGGGGGTTCAAAAGTCCCCTGTCCTGCGTGGATGAAGGATGCTTTGCCAGCACCCTGGTGGCTCTCCTCGTGGGGCCAGGCTGGCTCCAGCTGGGCAGGAGGAGACCTGTGGTTGAATGTGGCACTTTTGGGTGCGCAGCTGGTGGGAGGATTGCCACAAAGAAAATTTTGGGGTACTGCAGAGGCAGGTGGGCAAAGCTGGATGGGGAACATCTATGGCCTAGTTTGATTTTGCTGAGAAAACCAGTGCTGATGGAGAACAGGGTGCTGGGGCTGGCATGGAGCTGCTCAGGGGGTTGTCCCCAGGGTGTGCATGTGTGGCCGTGGTGGGGGGACACTGGGCTCCGCCATTCTGGGGCGATGTGAGACAATGCAGAAGGGCTAGGCATGCGTCCTTGATCCAGCAGCTCCCTGCACCGGCTGGGCTGTCCCTTGGACCCACCGGCTCGTCCCCCTGCACCCAGCATCCACCCCTCCTGCCTGCCTCCCACCTCCATGTGGTCCCCATCCCCGCCCCTGCCCACCCCCCCTTTTTACCAGGGCTGGAAGGAGGGTGGCCGGCGCCTGGCC